TCATCGAGGTCATCAATAAAGATATTGAAGAGGACAGGCCCCAGCACCGACCCCTGCGGAACACCACTCACGACCGGTCGCCAGCTGGATTTAACTCCATTCACCACCACTCTCTGTGCCCGGATACAGCTCAATATTGCTTTTCTTCAAACTCACTTCTGTTATGTAAGTCTGTAATTTTATGAAAGCTCTGCTGTCTTTCGTCTTGATACATTTCTATCTATTTTTGTAGCAAAACTAAGCAGAGACATTGTTAATATTGCACCAATTTTCTCAACATTTGAAATATTCAAAAGCTTTCCAACATGCAATTAGTCAAAAATGATATTTTGGGGAAAAAGAATTGAGATTTATCCTAGAATTCATTCTTTCAAAAGTAATATTTTAAAATTACTTTTAATATGTTTTGTCTAAAAAACAGCATTATTTTTCTGACGTGGAAGTCACAGGTCAAATTATGATTACTACACTCATTAGAAATTGCATTGTAAAGGAATTTCAGAATTCTTTAGACATCATGAAGATTTCTGTTCTAGTTTCCTAAAGAATGTATTTTGCTGATGAACTATGTCTTAGCCAAAAGGATGGCAAAGGCACAGGGCTGTTCTAGCATTGGAGTAATAAGGGGAAATACTCAGGGGTGTTTCAGGTTGGATATTAGAAAAATTGCCCTCAGAAAGAGTGGTGAGGCATTGGAAGAGGCTGCCTAGGGAAGTGGTGGAGTCACTGTCCCTAGAGATGTGCAAGAAAAGGGTTTATGTGGCACTGAGGGACATAGTTTAGAGAACGTGGTGATGGGTTGACAATTGGACTAGATAATCCTAGCAGTTTTTTCTAAGCTTAATGATTTTATGATTCTTTGAAATACTTTTGCTTCCTATACAGTCTTCCTCAGAGGGAAGATGGATGTAGCAATTAACTGTTAATTGACCAGGAGCAGTCATGGAGAAAGTAGCACATATTTCTACCTCGTTGATTGCACCATTTGAGGTATGGCCATCTGTAAATGCCTCTTTTTTAAACGTCCAGAGTGCAACATCCTAATACATCACAAAGGAGTATCAGGAGGTTTTCCTCCTCCTCGAACAATTAAAGTATCAGAGATTCAAAACTGTTTTGAGCTTACAGCTTTGGTATGACTCCAGAGAATCTGAGGTCTTATGAAAAACTTTGTAATTTATTCATTACTTGTGCCTTGAGTTACTGTTGTCATACATGCAGGATGTGGGCATGGGTGCGTACAAGTGAAAATATGTAAAGCTATGTACCAAGTTCTCATTTTTATGGCTATCAGGGTTTCAAAAAAGCAAGGCATTACTTCCAGATGATGCACACTGGGAGGCAAAAGGGCTCCCAGAAACTGAGCTCAAGTATATTTCCCAGCAGGATTATCTTTCAGTATGGACAGCTTAAGTTTATGTCCTTCTACAGGTCAGATGCCCTGCACTGAATCACAGTTAGAGGAAGTAACAGTGGAAGAAGCAAAGAGGAATTCACAGAATCATAGAATCATTTGAATAGGAAGGGACATTTAAAAGTCATCTAGTCCAACTCCTCTGCAATGAACGGGGATATCTATAGATAGATCAGGTTGCTCAAGGTCCAGCCTGACCTTGAACCTGTTCAGAAATAGGGCATCCATCACTTCTCTGGGCAACCTGTTCCTGTGTTTCACTATTCTTGCTGTAAAAACACTTTTCTTATATCCAGTTCCAAGGAGAGAATATTTTAAAATGTCATGATTATTTTCTTCTGCAAAGCTGGTATCCTCTTCACCACATATGCTAAATACTCTCCTGAACTCTGTGACCTCTCCTAAACAATAGGATTACATGGGTTTATTTTGTCATTTGGTTTCATGTTACAAAGTTTGGTGTACACAAAATGTGTGTGTCAAAAGTGCATTATTGTCCAAGCCAACACTGAGGTCAGCCCCTGTTTTCATCTGTCCTGATCCTAAGTTACAACTCAATCAAGTTATTTCAGTTTTCATCTGAAATGCAAACATTCCGGTTCACAGATATGATCTATGTTTTTATTTCCAATGTACTTTAAAAAAAATCACTGAAATTGTGTAAGTGGAGTATGTACGAAACTGTAACTGGAAGGAGAACTGGACCATGCAGCTTTAAAAACCAAGTTATCAAAACCAAACTGTAGAATTATGTTTCCTGTTGCTAATTCTTTCCATTCTCTCATCAGTCCCTCAGAAGCCCCATTTCAATAGGAGAAGCTTTAACAAAGCCACGATATTCTAAAGCAAGATTGAAAGCTGGCTTTCCTCCTAACTGGCAAAGCTCTAGTCATGAGGCTACCAGATCAGAGGCATGCAGAATCCCAGCCAGTCTCCTCACATAAAAATAACAAATCCCCCTTTCCCTTAGGAGTGGAATTCAGTTGCTGCATATCCAGAGCTTTAAGGCATGTATCTAAAGCAGAGAAAGTCCAGGATCACAGCTACATTGTGTGTTCCACTTGGCAACTGGTTGGTTTTCATCTGCACCACGCTCTGCTCAAGTGAGCACTCTCTCACTCACTACAGCAGCGTCTGAGCTTCCTGCACAGGCAGGATGAGATCCTTCAGTGGCACACACTACACTCAGCTGTGCAGATAAGGTCTGCTGCTGTACATTGAGAGAAGAGCTCTAATTCTTCAAATTTACTTTTCATCAGTGGTGATGTCATAAATGGCATGCCAGGGAAAAAAAAAAATGGATGTTGGCTTCACTCAAAGAATTTGGGAAAAAAGTTTTGATACTGGGCTGCAGAGAAGTGAAATGTTCATTACTAGGTATTTTACAGTTCTATCTCCATTATTCCCCTGAAATATTAAATAAGCAGCATAACAGTTTGATCAAGAAATTCTGATTATATACTTATCCCTAAGTCACAAGGTATTTTATCTCAGGAAGTGAGCGACAAGCAATTGAAGCCCTCCTGTCTCCTATCTTCCAAGAAACAGAAGGTCTCCTTTATGTTTGTGTGAACTGGCATTTCATTGCATGGTCATAAGAGTAGACAAGATTTAGAAAAACGCTTTTAGATTCATCATTTTACTTTCTTTGGCTGTCTAGACAGATCAGTCTGCCCACATTTCCTTCTTACTTGCTCTACCAAGTAGTAAAACTACAGACACGTCTCAGTATGTTTCACCAATACAATCCTATTTCCCTTTAGTTGTTTCAATATATTTAGATATAGTGGTCCCAAGTTTGAAGGGGAAAAACTCCAGCTCTTTGAGAAGATGAAGATTCAAGTTTGCAAAGAATCAGTGCTTTTTGATTGGAAATGGAAAAAGGAAAGGCCACTCTCTATTAAGAAAGCTTCATATATATTAGGGCTATAATTATATTTCCCCGAAGGTTTAAGACTAAGCTTTATATCAGGTACATAAATGACTTTAAACCAGTTGATAACTTTGAGCGTTGCTTTGAAAACTCTTTCACTGTCTTTTATCAGTTTCAAAAGTATTACTGGCATTTGACTGACCAATGCTTTGTGAAAAAAGATTCCCCATGAAAAATGATTTCCATTCATGTCATTTACACAGTGCACAAAAGGTTGTAGTGTCACGTGGCAGATGCCAGTGAAAGATCACGTCTGATCTGTGTCAGATTGTGGACTTTTTTTACACTACAAAACACAGGCGTGGCATCACTTTGCATTCCAGGGAATGAAAAGCAGAAGGGATATAAATCCCCTGATTTCTTTGTTTCTTGTGTAAAAGTTCAGATTTCAGCCTAAAAGGACTATGTCTGAGTTAGTTACAGAATTTTGCTGAGTAGACTGACATCCTGTAGTGTCAAAGAGTAAAATTAATCCACTTCCTATTTGACAATAATGTCAGTTTTGTCTCGTATATAATTCCAGAATAACCTTCTGAATCTCAAAATGTTTTAAGTGAAGCTCCCTATTCTTATGCTGCAGATTTATTTTTAAATTCTTGGAAAAGATGGACAAGCAAACTGCCACAGTTCCATTTAACATCACGGCAATAATTAAAGCTAAATGCATCTAAGTAAAACTGAGGAAGAAAATCTTTAGGAAATCAACAATAATTTCAAGAAAGCACAATTATCTTCTAGACCTATCAATTAATTATTCAACATCTATTAAGCTCATAGATCTACTCTCCAACAAGACAGCCTTAAAACTGTTGGAGGGCTTATCTGAAGGTCTGGATAGAGTAAGCTAAAGGCTAAAATGGTTTCATATTATCCACTTCAGACTTAAGAATTTTGTTGCCATTGTCAGCTATAATGAATTATCCAAGTTTAATTATATAAGCACTAAGCAAGCACTACCATCACTAACAAGAGTCCCATAATAATCTCTTTAAATGAATACTCTCAGCATTTCTTCATTTTTAAAGAGGACAGGAAATAACCCTTCATCACCTGTCCTAAATAGAGCAGCTTATACAATCACTGAAATTTACTGGGGAGCTGCCCATTGAGTTTAGTACATGCAAAAGCAAAGCAGTCTGAAGGAGACCAAAAACACCCATCAATTTCAGTTTCTACCTCAGTCACCTAATTTATAAAACTCAGTCTTTCCTTTTTCTTTGAAGTACTGAAAGTATACTGATTCTCTGAAAAGCTGCTAAGATCTGGATTATGCTGGAGACAGCTTCTAAAATAGTCACCCTTCAGTAGTGCATGTTCAAGATGAGCTCTTGGTGTTGCTCAAGAAGTCTACAGAAGAATCTATTTTAAATCAAAGCTTGTGACTGATTCCTGTTTCAATAGTCTGAGACGCACTTACTGGAAAAGGACTCAACCTCTATTTTCATGCATAGAAAGCTTGGTGGTGCTTCAACATCAAGAGTCATACTGTAAACGTAACATTTATTTCAAAGCCAATTTCTTAAATCTAAGCAACAAGAAAGGTCATGAAGCAACACAGTTTTTTCCATGCATCAGGAAGGTTTTTTTGATAAGAAGGTCTGAAGAGCACATTTCATATCAACTACAGCCTGAACAACAAATCAGGCAACCCCCTCAGCCCTAGACTCCAAGGTAAAAATCAATTTTTCTTAACATCTGGTTTTAAGGAGCCTACTTTTCTAGCAAAGGTATGTCTTCTGGGATCAGATTCATTATCTTGGTAGGCCATGTTCTCCTGACTCTTATTCTAACACACCTGTTTCCTATCAATGAGCAGATACCAGATAAATAAAGCATGAAGTAGAATAATAGGATTGATGTGAGGTAGTGAAGTGCACAGATTATTTATCTGTCCTCAATACTAGCTACCATTAAGCATAGTTCCCAAAATAGAAACTCTGACCTGGAAAACAAACAAACAAACAAAAAACAACTAATTAATCCAATATTTACCTACCCCATGTTGTTTTTTTTTTGTTGTTTTTTTTTCCTCATTGCTAATAATATATAAATTTCTCCCTCCAGAACAACCCAGAATTTTAACAGCTACAAAGCACTTTATTTTCTCCTCCAAACCAGTAGTTGAGGTACCTCTTCCCCTGGGTCTTCTGTTTATCCTGCTAGTGGAAATCCATCCCACCATCCTGGTGCAATGCCCTGAGGTCTCTGTGCTCTCCTGTCCAGCATCTCCAAGCTCTGTTCCACAGCTTTCTTGACTCAATCTGCATGGAAATCAAAAAGAAATGTTATTTCTACCCCAACTATTCCTTTTATTTCGTTTTGTAGGTATGAATTTTCTGAAATTTCCACTTTCCACAAAAGATCCCCACAGGAGACTGAGGGATGTTCACTCTTAGGGGACCTATGATAATCAGTGTGGTGCCAAAAAATAAAAGAATAAATAAATAGATAAAGAAGATCAATACTGTCAATAAACACATTTGATAATCTTCTGTCCTTTAATAACACATCAACACAGCACTATACATGTTGTTACGTGCTTGAAATTCTAGATCTGCAATTCACTTTAGGTTTTGTCCAGCTTTATCTGGATTCAAGACAAATGTTTTGTTCACTCAGTACAATGTAGCCAACATTATGTGACTACATAGCTCTTGTATGTCTGGCCGTGTGTTTCACATAGGGTGTACCAGCCAGCTTTTAGAGATGTGATCAGACAGGAATGAGCACATTGATAGAGTATTTTAAAATACACTAGCCCACGATATTTCCTTTCCTTCAATGCCTTTTCTAGAAGGCCAGATTTTTATTTTTTTTTTTTAATTGGTAAAACAAAAATCCCTTAGGTATTCTTCGGCTTTCTCTGGCTACAGTTTTTTCCACTAGTAACACTGTTTGTTCTTCATTTTGAAAGGCAATTAACTTTCGAAAGAAACAATTATCTTCTCAGGAGAACACCTACAGGAATGCATCTATTTATGGCCATTCTTCTGACTTTCCAGTGTCTGCCATGTCTTCTCTCATTCACCTCTTGAAATGAACATTCAAGGAATGTTAGCACTACTTACATACTATCTTTCACAACTACATAGGAAGCAAATGAAAATAAGCTGTAGCTTTTTTTTTTTTTTTTTTTCTTTTTTTTTTTTTCCAAAGTAAAATATAATAGGTAAAAATAGACAGCTAAGAAAAATGGTACAGATAAGTTTAATTTCAGTGCAGCCTACATGACAGACACTTCCTTGCTTTATTTTCCAACCAAGAAAAATCCTCTGTGATGGGAAAGTAGAATGCAATGTTTATAAATATTTTTGTTTTAAACAGTGGCAGAATAGGCCTTGTGTATATCACGCCATGCCTGCTGGTTTGTAACTTCAGGAAATCACATGGTAGTAAAACTGAAGAGTCTTTTTATTAAAAGAACAATTTACAGGCATCCTGCAGCAGCAGCAGCCTTTCCGGCTGAAGGCATCCCACTGCTTCTTCCAAGGCCTTCTTCCCAAGGATTTCAACTCCCATCTCTCCAGCCACCCACTTTACCTACTGCACTTCACAATAATATGTGCAAAATTCAATCAGAACACTCTCAGCACTTCCTGAGCTATTTGTTATAGGTGGCAAAATAGAAGACATTGGTCTTATGCAAATAACAAGTCATCCCAGAACACTTTTCATTTAGGTCTCTCCCATTCAGTTACTATTCCACATCTTTCCTGTGTGGTTTTTAATGCAGAGTTAGTATCTTTTTTAAAAGAAGTTCCGTATTTACAGGATATTATAATTTCCTTCCTTATATAAAATAAATAGTACATGTCTGTATAGTGCTAGGTAACTGTAATTGCGTTACTTAGGTAATAAAATCATTCCACTGTTATCAGCACAGCATGATAAGGTATAATGCTCAAAGAAAAGTTTTATGGAGCATAGAAGCACCTGGCAGAAAATTATTATTTATGTTTTTTTCCAGTAATGCTGATTTCAATTTTGGTCAGTACAAGACTTCTTACTGCAAAAAATCCACTATGTTTACCAGATTTTGTAAATCAGATCTCAAAAAGTTCTTAATAAATTAATAATAATTACTTAAACTAAGATTGTCATTTCATTGTTGTTCAAGTTGTTTGTTTCATGTCTTTATTATTTATTTATTTTTTGAAGTTATTTTCTTCAACAGGAAAGGCATAAACTTTGGTATTTCAAAGGCTCAGTTTTGACAAGGCTGTTGATTCTTAAAATGCGACCACTAATACCTGTCTACAGTTCATTTACTATCTATGTTCTGCGTGTATGTGCTCAGTTTTTTGAAAGTATGCCTTTATGATGAAGGGAAGATAAATGGAACAGTCACATAGTTGAATTTGGGTATACTTCATGGAAAAAAAAAAAAAGTTAAAGAAAAGTTTAAAGATCTTTGTTTAGAATTAGGAGCCCTGCGTATAATTCAAACACTGGTTTTAATAACTGTGGTAATAATTCACATGAGTAGGATCTCAATTCCAGAAACCAAGGGACACAAGGTTAAACGCAGCCCCAGAGTAGCCTTAAAGGTAACACTGAATTTGAAGTATATTAATGGGGAGAGAACAGCGTCCTGAACAGAGACATTGGAAATCTTCCTGCCCATTTATAGATTTTATGCTAGAGTTTTGGTAAACAGATACTTGTCATTACTCACATGCTGCGCTAAGAGGTGTCCATGCTGCAGTCGACTGTGTGCCTAAATGACCAACAAAGCTGCAATGCTTACAGTGCATTTACACTCCCTAATGAGAAGAAGAAAGTAAAAAGAATTAAGAGATTTTGCTTCAACTGCTGAGAACAACTTCTAAGCCAGCCTTAGATACAAAAACCACGCTCTTTCTTTGAGCTTTAAGAACTTTGTGAAGAATGTCAGAGGAGATGGAGATCAGCCTGAACAGTAAATATCTCAGGCTGTCTTTATGCTCTGAAGTCACTCAAGTGTGCAGCAGAAGGATAGAGAGATACTAAGTGGGGGCAGTATGGAGAGTGCCTCTTCCCTCTGCTTCTACAAACCATTGCAGTGGGCAGTGGCCTCAGAGACCCAGCAAGAGGCAAAACTAATTCTTAAATCTTAATGCTACACATCAGCATTACCAGCTCCATACCAAGCCAGCACATTGTTCTGGTAAGCCTGGAAGTGCAGTGGAGCTGCCTGAAATCACGCACAGCTGACTGGAGGCATTATTCCTTCCACAGTTGAAGTGCTGGGAGTGAATACTGAGTGTTAAACCCATGCAGTTTTTGAGAAAATGGAAAATTTACAGTGTTTTTAACAGGAGTTTTTGCCTTCTTCTTGTTTATATATATTACATATATTAAATGGATAAAATATGTTTAATAATTATATCAAAGTACTTGAACAAACTGAGACAGCATTTTCAAGGAACCTTAGGTCCACAGCTCTCAGTTTTGATCCTTGGAATATCTATTATAGTGCATTTGGCAGTAAACAGCATTAGCCAGGCACAGATTTATTGCAAGTACCTTAGTTTCCTTAATAGCTTTTGTATCCCAGAGGCTCCAACAACCTGCACCCTCCACACTTATGAACAGCCCTGTGAATTTTCCTGGCTTCCCTAATGAAAGACAGCAGTTGCACAAGCCAGGAAATACCCATCTGTAACTTGCATCTGCCTCACTCCCCACTGCCAGTAAGAAGAAGGGCTGACTCTATCTTTAAGAACAAAGATAGACTGTTGTTATCTATCTACATTTTTTAAAATGTACAGAGCTTAAGGGCAAGCTAAGTTCCCTTTTCCTCAGGAGCCTGGAAACGCCTCTGCATCTAAGAAACAAAGTTTACTTGCAAGAGTTTGACTGAAACTGACTTCTCCCTTGCACTTCCCAGGAAATTTGTTGAACTGCTCTGTGCATTCCTTTTCCCATTCATAAACATACAATGTTAACAGTATTCCTTTGAAGGAATGCTACGTGCACTACTTCATTATGCTGTCTCCCCTGTTACTATCAGGAAGCTCAGCTAATACCCGCTATCATTACCTATAATTAGCATTGATGCAATGCTATTGTATCACGTCTACCAACAAGAGATCCAGGTCCTACCCTCTGAAATTTTCTAGAAATTGAATTTATACTAAATCTTTCATGCACCATGCATGATAGCGCAGAGAAAGCACCATCTGCTAGAACAGGTTTGTCTGGCATTCAGAAAATAGGGAACTTCAAAGGCAGGGAAATTTCCCAGGGACTTTATTCTTTCAAAACCCAAGTCTGGGGAACTTCAAATCTGAAACTAAATCAGTATTTGAAAATAAAATACAGTTCCTCCCTGACAAGAAGGAAGATGTGTTTAACAAAGAACATATCGTTTTTAATATTAACATCCTAAAAAAAATTCGTCTCCACTAAGGAGACTAAGCATCTGGCAAATTCTGGAAAAATGCTGAACTCCACAACACAGACAGCAATGAGATCATTGCTTAAGGATTTGTCTCTACTATCCCAAGATTTTTACAATGGTGTATAAATCACTGTCTTTTGGAGAAAGACAAAACAATCCAATCTACAATTTTCTTATACTAAATCACTGTCAGAAGTGTATTTTCTCTGCAGCTCACTTACTAAATCATTTGTCTAAACCTAGAGATTTGAATCCAAATCTGGATCTGGGTATGTCTCCAGACCCCTCAGCAATGCAAACTGTGACTTAAAAGTTCAGCATCCCTACACACTCTTTCAGAAAGGAATTGAAATTACCTGACTGTGTTGAGCTTCAGCACTCAATCCAGACTCAGCACTCAATCAGAGCCAAGATCGAAACAAATCTTTCTATTGAAAGATGAGGAAGCACAAGAGGGTTATTTTTGACACAGTCTGTCAATCACCAGCTTACAGGTAGAGACAGCAGGCAGTTTCCAAAGCAAGCTCATGGTGGTACTCAGGCTCTCCAGTTCTCAAGAGTATGACGGGCTGTGTCATTTTGTTTTACCTCCAGATGACTGAGTGACTGGAGACAGAAAAGAATTAATCAATTAGAAGAATCAGTAAGTAATTTTTACCAATGTATATAGACAGATATAAAAAGCAATTTTAAGAGTTAGTAACACTGCCCTCCATGATATTTCAAGTATTAGAGCTTAAGGAAAGAAATCAAATACTCTCTAATAAACCTAGATTGTATTTAATGTGTTTCTGTTCCATGCTGGTATTTGCAAAAACAAACCCAAAAAACCCCCACCCTCAAATATTTCACTAACCTATTTGAAAGTCATTCATGAAGGGAGCTCTCTGTGTCAATTTTTGTGGTGCTTGAAGGACATAGACCTGCTTTGTTATGGTGGGTCAGCACTCTTAGAGAGCTCATAACTAGCCTGACAGGATAACACGGAGCTCAGGGCTGATAGTATCTTCTGCAGACTTTACAGATGTACAGATTTCAGAGAACTAGAAGGTTGGTACATTAGCATGGAGATGTTTGTGGAGTCTCTACTGCATTGCTTTCTCTTCAACATCTGATATTCAGTCTGGGATTCCTATGAAAGGAAAGACTGTCATTTAAATACAGTCATCACCCTCTAAGGTCACACTGGGAAAGTGCCAAGTACCATGCAAGAAAATAATACAAGCACTAGAGCAAACTGGTTTCACCACAGAGATCAGCGCCCCCCCTTTGAGGTGGTTGTTCTAGACCAGGTAGAAGCAGAAATGCATTTCACAAACATTTTTCCGTTCCTTCTGGGACTCTGGCAGCCAGGCATGAGAGATGTTAGAGTCTGCTGTAAGGTATCAGCAGCCTGAAGGGATGGAAGTTTGAAAACTCATCTCCTAATGTATTAAAAAACAGTTCTGCTTTCATCTGCCTAGAATGCCACTCTTTACAGCCCTGCTTTGAGCAGTGGCTACTCCACACAACCACCTGTGGCCACTTCCAGAGAGTGAGGCAGCCGTACTACGCACTCCAGCCTTAACGATCCAATCAGTATCTTGACCAAGCATAAAATTTTGCTTCTTATCTCACATACCATTCATTTATTGTGGCTTAGGTGCTAGAGTGATTGGGAAAAAAAATCCTGATTGCTTCAAAATACCTTCTCTCTCTCTCTCACACACACACACACACAAAGCAATGTAGAAGCATTTCAAGCAAAATGATCCAAAATGAATTCAACTGAACATAAAACAGACTAAAATAAATAGATACATTTTATTTAAAAAATATATATTTTTTTATAATATACAAATTACTCATCTTTCTCAGTTTGATAGCAAATACCTGTATTAAAAGTAAGCCTGTAAGCAAAATGAATAGTTTATGTTAAGTACTTTGAGTGATATTCTGGCCAAATGCAAGTTGGTATTAAACTAATAAGAACCAGTTCTGGAAAACAAAACTGTTTGACAATACTTCTTTTGTTTTCATCACCACAGTATTCAGAACTGCTTTCTTCACCTCACTTCTCACCCTTTGGGAATGTCATTGCTCAAAACTAGGACATAAAATAGAGCCATTCAAGACATTTAACAAGAGGTAATTACAGAGCGTTTTGTTTATCAGAGCAGAAAGCTGTTCTCAGACAAGTGTAGTTTTCCAAATAACATAATTGATTCCACTGAAGGTCAGTGTTCTAACCAGCATATTTTTATTACTTCGTCTTGTTCCTATTAACACTGCAGCACAGACTCTTAGACAATACTGCACTGCCCTGCATAGATATTGTAAGCCTGTGTAAGTTAGAGTCATCCTGGATGCTGCAAGGCTCTCATTTGTTGGTAACCTTTCCATGCTATGGACTAGCACTTCTATCTCTGGCTGAAAAAAAGGCTTATGTCTATTCATTTAACCGGGTGTCAGTGTCCATTCAGCCCCTCCCTCCATTACAGATTCTGACAGCACCCAGCAGTCATTCCTCATCTAATACCACTGGAGATCAACAATTATATTTGGCCTCTGGATAACACAGGATCCACTGCCCTTTCTCTAGCACAATGAATGCTTAATCTTTGCATGCCTCTTTCTGCTGCAGCTGGCACAGCTTTTTCTGCACAGGATCCAAAAACACAGCGTTAGCACCACATCGCCAACTGCATCTTTGAGAGCAGAAAAGCAGAGATACATTAAACTCCATTACAGTTAATAAGAGCTAGAATCAAAGTTATATTCCTGAAACACTGAGGAAAACTGAAAGCTTGTGTCCCTACTTCTCCAGTACGGTGCCACTTTCATTAGAACTTCTCAACTGTCCCATAAAGATCACCTACTGACCCAAAACATTGTGAAATCAATGTAATTCAGGAATTAAAAAAAAAAAAAAAGTAATAATAACAATAATAAAAAAAATAATAAAATATTTTGAGAAGGAGAAAAGCAGAAAGTATTTTAATCTAACAGTAAATGAAGCAGATTTAGGTGGCCAGGGATTCTTTGCTAATAGAAGCCTAGGGTCCCACTTACATTCACAATGTTTCACAAATCTCCTTTCAGAGTCTTTACTTTCCTTTTTGTTGTTCAAGTCTCAGAACTGAAAAGAGTAAGCAAACAATATTTATAAGCTACAGGGCAAGCTGTCTGGATTCTAGGATTTGAAAAGTTATGTTTATTATTAATCAGATAGGATTGCAGAAAAGGAGCACTCCAACCTGTACCACAAAGATCATAAGCAAAAAAAAAATCTTACTCTGTCTGTGGTCTTCCTGTACAGTACAATATAGTGTTTAGTAGCAGTGTTTATGCTTTGTAGTACACAGGTGAG